CCCCGGCCCGGTGCATTACGGCAGCGACACGCCCCCGAGTGCCTCCTCCAGGACCAGGACGCCGCTGCGCCACGCCCCGCCACGCCACCGCTGCTAATTAATCTTTGTCCCGGGGAAAAGTTTCCTCCCCAACTCGGCCGTTAATTGCTTTTCCACCTTATCGGTGGCGGCGGGGGGCTGTGGGGGTGGACAACAAGTCGGGGGCGGAGGGTACTGAAAACTTATCCTTTAAACTTCCCAAGCAGCGCGGTCGCGGTACTCCCGTCGCAAGTACTAGTGCGTCCGTCCTGGACAACAACGACACGACTAACACTTGTCTCTCTCTCTGTTCTGTTGCAGTGGGCGGTATGAGCCGCCCCGCCAAGTCCGCCCCGCTGGCCAAGAAGGTGGCGCCGCCCGCCGTGCCGGGCGTCTTCAGACACTCCGGCTCGTCCTTCGGCTCGGCCGGCTACTGCTCGAGCGAGGACCCCGGCGACATCCTCAGAGGTAAGCGTCATATTCTTTGGGTGCTAACGAGAACGATGGGTAAGGCTGTATATTTTGGTGTAAGGAATTCTGCTGTAAGCCAACCGGAAACCTACAGAAGAAAAGCGCGCTCGGTCGATCTGTACACTGTATCCTTCTGCGCGCTCATTGGCTGACCGGCGCACCGACGGCATCGTTGACCAAGCAGCGTTTAGGAGGAGGAAACAGATCGTGCAGTCATGCTTCTTCTGTGAATTCCGATTTTCTGCCAGCGGAATGCCCTATTGTTTTGCGCGACGCCGCGCGGTTAGGCAACCCATTCGACACGGACCGCGGGGCAGGCAAGCTGGGCAGGCTGGGCTGCGGAGGAGCGGGGCGGGCGAGATAGCGAGGTGGCCTGGTCGTAACTGTGGCGCGTGTGCGAAACAAAACGTGTCTGATAGCGGCGTGGCGGGGCGTGCTGGGGCTGATTGCGCTCGAGATGCAGTGATGCGATCTGGCCTTGCCGGGGCGCTGCAGCTGTGTATACTCTCTGCGGGGCGTGTTTTGTACAGGGTAGTCCTATCTCTGTGTGTGTGAGTGTGTCCCGCCTCGTTACGGTCCTGACAGCGTCGTTTGGGAGGAACGAGAGTCGCTTACTCGGCCGCCGGATGGGCCATATGGTGCGCTGTGCTGTGCGGCCGCGTCGAGGCGTGGTGGTGGTAGTACACACACCAGTCGGAGACGTCATTGGAGCGGCTGGCGCTGATAGCGGATCCTCCCTCTGCTGTGTATCGCCGAGGTTCGCGCCGCTATCGCCACGGCCATCGCAGCGGTCAGTAATTGGTTCGGGCGAATCTCTCTCGCGGCACTGACGGCAGCAGCAGCGCCGCCGCCCCGTCACATCACATGCCCCGCTATCAGGCGCTATCACCTGCCGCGCCCCGGGGCCCGCGCGATCAGCCAGCTTTAATGTTTTCGCGGCCTTGCTGCCTGGCGGGCTTGCCGTCCGCGCGCTCCCTTCGTCGCGGTCCTCGCCATGTCCCCGCCGTCGCCGCTCGCCCTGTTCAAGAGGGCATTCCCCTGGCCGCCCTGCTCGCCCTCGGCCAAACGCCCCCGCCGCGAGTACGACGTGTACTTTCTGCCCGGCCAGCATTGCGCAGGTCTGAGGACGACATCCTCACAGCGAGCTCGCCCGACTCGACTCTGACCCTGACCCTCGACTGACATCTTGTGTTTTTTCTTCTTCTCTCTCCAGATGTAGGCGATCATACAGACATCTACGGCATGGCAGGGAAGTCGCCCGGGCAGATGTCGTACCCCGCCTTCACCTTCCCCGGCCCTCAGGGCATGTCGCAGGGCAAGGTGGGGCCGCCGTTCTTTCAGCACCAGCTGTCCCTCCAGGAGGACCAGGGCATTGACATGACACAGGTACTTTTCACAAACTTTGGATGTTCATTTTGAATAAGCATCTTGATTGCTAACGCTGTTCTCCGTTCCTCGCAGAGCCCCGGCAGGGACAGCCCCGGGTCCGCCGGCTCGGGCTCCGGCTCCGGCTCCCGACACAGCACGGCCAGCTTGGACAGCGGCCGCGCCTCGGGGACGTCGTCGACCGGCTACCACCACCTCGTGGTGCGGGGGATGGGCCTCAGCAGCCAGGGCACCGCTTCCTCCACGCTGTCGTCGTCGTCAAGTCCGAGATGTTCCATCTCATCGTCCTCGTTGGGGTCCTCTGAGCACGGCAACCCCGGGCTGCACGTGGAGCGCCTGCTGCAGCAGGGAGTACCTGTAAGTACTTCCGTTACACCTCTCCTTCCACCTACGATATCTACCATTGTGTGTATCTATGTATTTCATTTATCTTGAAAAATACGATAACATATGTTTTTTTGTAATCTCGTAGGACTGCGAGGTTGTCTTGTCGTGGCTGCAAGACCTCCACTTTGAAGAGTACTACCACCTTTTTGTTGGTGCAGGCTATGATATGCCAACAATATCTAGAATGACCCCTGAGGTATGTATTATACCATTTAGCTGCTTAGTTAGCCCCACGTGCTACTTCTGTAGTTATGCTTAACTACAAGAAGTGCGCGCGAGGTTAATCAGCCACCTAGTATTAGGTAGTTTCACACAAACTTCTGATAAATCGGTATTGTTGCTTTGAAAAAAAATTTAAACTGTCATTATTTTTTTCAGGATTTGACTGCAATTGGTATTAAAAATCCAAATCATCGCAAAAAATTAAAAGTTGAGATTGCACAGTTAAATATTAATGATGGATTACCTGATTATATTCCTGTAAGTCATTTTGCGCGCCACTTATGATCAAATTTTGTTTATAAGCTCTCTAACTATTTTCATTTGTGTGTCATTCAGGGTTCTCTTGATGAGTGGCTTAGGCTACTAAGGTTAGAGGAATATTTGGTTCCCCTACAAAGACAAGGTTACCATTCTGTTGAAAATGTTACAACTTTAGCCTGGGAAGATTTGGAAGATATTGGCATTGTAAAGTTAGGTCATCAGAAGAAAGTTTTACTTGCAATTCGTAGAGTGCAAGATTTAAGAGCAGGAAAACGTATACAACCTCCTCAGGTAAGAAAATATGTTTTTTGTCTGATAATGCATTTTGTCAACAACTAATTTTTTTATGATAACTCACCATAGAGTTAGTTCAATTAGAACTTCATCCATCTAGGTGTAGATTCTATTCCTTACTTTTCTCATTAAATAGCTCACCAGATTAAAAAAAAAAAAAATCAAGCAAAACAGATTTAAAATTCCGGGGTCTAAATTATCTAGCTATTATAATTATTCTTGCCTATACCTGTAAATGAAGCGCATTAGTTCTTACTATAGTGAATTTCTTCTTAAGTAGATGTACTTGAAAAAAATAAAGAGACATTTTGGTCTTTTATAAATACACTGTCAGAATCATGGATTGAAGTCAGACTTTCTCACTTTCCTGCTGCTTGAGAATTCTAATTTACCCTTCTTCATATATTTTGAGCAGTTAAAATGTCTTAGTTTTGCTGATCATTTACTATCTCAAAACCAACAAGAAAAATCTAAATTGGAAATCCAAATGCTGCTCTAAGGTATTGCTTTTTGTGCTCTGATTCAGACACTTGAGCTAAATGTCTCTTGCTCTGCTCTAAAGGATATTAAGTGCCAACTGATATCTGCTATGTGTCTTGAGTGCTTTCAGGAAATGCTCTTTTCTGGCATGTTTGCAAATCTCAACTCTTAAACCCAATCCACATGCCCAAATATTACTTTGCATTTTGCTTGAAATGAATGCTATGGCATATTCCTTATCCCTAGCTCATTCCTCTCTAGACGCAAGGATGAAGGGTGAAACGGATAGGGCAACTATCTGTTAACTTAATTATTATTTTTCTAACTATTGGTTCTCTTTTAAACGTTTACTACCTCGATTTTATTCCATGTAATTTTCTAGCGTGCTATAGGTCATTGACCTTTGTACAGAACCCTAAAATAGGCTGAGCTGATCAGCATTGTTGAAGGGGCGTGGGTCCATCCTTAATGGTTTTATTAGAATGGGCACATTATGTTTTGGTTTCTTAGGACGTGTTTGTCACTGAGGGCAGCAGCCTCAACTCCCCGGATGAGGAGGCCCTCCCCCCGCTTCCACTTCCAGGCGCGCACAAGGCGTTTCACACCTTCCACCAGCCATGGGAAACTGACACGATGCGACAACCGCACCATATGGTCCTGCCTTCGTCCGCATTCACGGTGCACCAGCCGATGTATTCCGCCTCTCCCGAGTTTGTTCCCATCAAGGTAGCCATTATTTTCATTTCAACTTAGCATGAGGTCAAAGAGTTCATCTCTGCTCTCATGTATTTAGTTCCTATTTACTTCTCTTTAAAATTTGCTGGTCACAAACTTAAGTCTCAAGACCTACTTTACCTCAAAAATTGTTTTTGATCTTTGAGTAGGTAAATTCTTTATTGTAATAAATGGTACCTATTTTCATTTTATTTTTTCAATGGGGAAGCCCTGCTTTCACAAGCATCCTGTGCATGTTTGTTTGCACTCTGCACGCATGTCAATAAACTTTGCCTTCCTTTAGCTAGGTAGTTTTTCACTTCTATTTGTGTCTGTGAAATTAGCTTCATTTTTGCTATTAGTGTTCTACAGGGTGGGTGTTCTACGCCGGACTTTTGTTTCTGGTTATACAGTACTACATGCAGGCGTGCGGGCGGGCTTGCCTACCGACTCTTACCACGGCGCCTTATGGCTCCGTGCGAGTATGCAACTCCTCCGGACGCATGCATGCGGTACTGTGTGTGTAACTAGAGAAAAGGTCATACATAAAAAACGCACTCTGTATGTTCTCTAGATTGATTTATTTTGTTAAAGAAAAAAATAAATCTTTTCATTTAATTCTTATAGATTTGTATATTTTTCAGTCACTTTGTTTTTTACTTTGCTAATATCAACTGTTGATTTGTTGTATCTGAAGCAGAAAGTTACATTTGTTGTAACAGGTTGTTAACTGGTTTACTCTTTTTTTCACAGATTCGGGGAGGCAGAGGAAAGTCTCTAGAAAGCTTAGAGGACAGCAATGAAGTAACCCATCATACCTTCAGTCCAGAAAACACGCAAACATTTTACTATCAGCATGCTCAACCCATGGTAAGATATTTCCTGCCCTAATATTTGGCTGAGGGCAACTTCTCGACATCGTCAAATATTGATGAATTTATAAATTATCTTGAAGAATCAGATTTTGGAAATTGATGAGCTTGAAACTTTCAGTTTGCCTAATTTGAAAATAAATTTTCCAGCAGCACGGCTGGAGGCGGAGCTATGACGACGGCGACCTCACCCCGACCAACGAGCTGGCGAGCATGGCGTTGCACGAGGGTGGAGGCACCCTGCCGAGGCACCGCGGGCCCGGCAGGCCGCGCCCCGTCGCCAAAGTGACGGCCAACACCTCGTCGACGTTCAACGCCAGCCAGGCCACCCTCCTAGCGCGGGACTGGGACAGCCCCCGCAAGCGGCCACCCTCACCGCCCAAGCGGCAGTCCTCGTCGGGCGGGCGATGCGGGAACCTGAGCGACTCTTGCGACAGCGTGGATGGCGTGGGCGGCGGCGGCAGGCTCATCACCACCACCGTGGAGCTGCACCACCCGCTGCCCGCCTACCCCAGCCCGTGCAGGCCGAGCCCGTCCCAGGACAGCTTCGACGACCTGCCCCTCCCTCCCCCGCCCGCACCCTCCACTCCCCCCTCCGCCACCGCCCCGCGGCAACCGTCCTGGAGCAACGGCGGCCAGCCGGACGAGATGCTAATTGCCAGCCTCTCGAAACAGCCGGGCAGGACAGGGTCGGACGCGAGCTTTAAGGTGAGAATTTTTTTTACACGTGGAAATTTTATCTACGACTCTGTGACAAGCAGCCTCATTAATTTTAAACCCTTCTTTCTTCACCTACAGTCGAGTTCTAGTACTGAGTCAGATTCACTACCATTTGCCAATGAAAATGCAGGCACTATCAAACAAAGAGCAAATCGACCACATCCGTCTTTATCGAGCCTGGACAGTAAAGATGGAAGTAAGTGCAAACAAGTGCTCCTGGTCTTACATTATCTATCTATTCAGTCAATTAGCCCAAAATTAACTGTTTCGTTATCCTCCTTACATTTTCAGAATCACATAAGCAGGCACCTCAGCACAGGCCATCTCTCATTGACCTGTAAGTGACAAACACATATTTCTTTTATTTAATTTTTTTCAATAATTAGTTTGATGCTATTTATCAATTTCTGTTGCAGAAAGAAAGATGGACCACAAGAGCCTTCTGATGTGTTGAATGACATTGGTAACATGTTAGCAAACTTAACAGATGAACTCGATGCCATGCTAGAAGAGGAAAAACGGCAAGGTCTCAACAATGATTAGATGAGATATGCTGTGATCTGTCTCTTGCTGTCTCCAGTCATTTTACATTGTTAATATATTTTTATTAGCCTTTGTTTTTAGTGCACTGATATCCTTAGTGTTGAGAGTCAGTGACTCAAATATCTGTGATCAAAGTTGTCTGTCCCTGTGATTTTTATTTTTCCTCATCTGCATTTTAACTATTATGTATGAATATCAGTTCACTGTTCCCATGGCTTACATCATATTCAGGAAACTATTACCTCTCTTGGGTCAACAGTTTGTAGTACCTGATATTTATCATGTGCCATGAGCTATAGCTTTCCATGAGTGAGCATGTGTTTTATGTGCCATTGCAAATAGCCAGTACTCTTATAAGTTTATGTTGTTGAAGCTTCAGATCAGACTTTTCTTTTGTCTACTCCTGAATCTAGAACAAATAGGTTCTGAATTTCATTTTGGTTGGGTTTTGTCGAATTTGCTCTACTTTATGTAGTGTATTGTATTTGATTTCCTTCAATTATCACCCACCAAATTGTTTCACTAAAAGATTTATTTTTGCTTGTCTTTTTTTTTGTTTTCTAAAAAAAAAACATTGTTTATTACTGGCGTATAACTGTCTGGTGTGGAGCTGTTGTCATCCGTCTTTCTGGACAAAAAGTATAAAACCGATTTTCTTTATCAGTTGTTTTAGAGAGGCATGACAAAGATAAAATGAAAATGGTATTTCAGTTGTAAGTGTCAGGCTTTTCTTTTTTATGTGTTGTAAAAAAGAATAAGCTCATACCTTTTTTTAAAGGCAAGTTAGAACTATGTCTTTCCTTGCCAAAATGTATCTAAACTCACAAAAGTTTTATTACCTGCTGCAGTGTTTTGTCTAAAGGACACAAATTTGTCACAGTTACATCAATTGATGTCACTGGTCAAAATTTAGTCATCAGGAGGTTGTGAAATGATGTTCTTGAGATGTCATTTCTGAGTGTCAAGATGACAAAGTTTTGACCCGTGACGTCAAATTGATATCATTGTGACAAAATTTCTGTTGTTTGGGATGAACTCATTTTATTTTCTCTAGTAAATTCTATTCTATCATAGGATCTTGAATACAAATTTGCAATGACATCAATGGAAAGTGGATTTTACACAATCTAACTGCATTTATATTGCCTTACAATGGAAAGAAACAGTTGGTTCACAGACTTAGTACTAACTACCAGCTTTCAAATATTTGCTCATGTACTGTAGTGCCTGACAACTGGAATGAAGTCAAAATTAACCATATTCACATATCGAATCTGTGATTCAATGTTCAATCTTCAGATACAATTGTACCTCATACCAAGTGATTATCAAATTGAGGCAGCTTATTCACATTTGTGTATGTTTTCCTTCACTTGCAAACATCACAATATCTTTTTCAGTGCTGTTGTCAATGTGAATTTATGTAGTAACCATGGGTTGTTGTATTTAATTATTGTTTTATATCTGGTTGTTTTTTGTTACATAGAGGAATTTCCTCTAACGTCATGTAAAGTAACATTGTAAACTATGTACATGAAAATACATACAGATTGAGTACATAATTGTCGTTATTGTGTAACATAGGTAGAAACTGCATTTATCATTCGTGCTGCAATAAAAGCAGCCTTTGAGTGTCTGTAATGTTTGTGTATGTAAGAAATTAAGAAGACTGGTGTAGTTTTGGGTATGAAATGTTGCAATGATTAACAGTAACACTGTAGTTGTAGATTGTTAATGAAAAAGTTGAGATGATCGGCATTGTATTGTAGTTAAATCAGGATTTAATTAAAAACAGTCTTGCCCTTAACAAACATGTCTTTTTTGAAATTATTAAGCTATCCTCAGACTTACCAATTACAGCACTAAATTACAAATGAAGCTTCATTATAATCCATATTCTTTTTATCATGTATAAAATCACATTAAATCACAAGGAATCAGACTTTTACATCTTATTTATAGGGTACACATATGTTAAATCAATAGTACAAGCATAAAGAAAGGACCTAAAAGCTCCAATTGTGAAACTTCGTCATATGATCTTTTAGTTTATCATTCCGTTTAAAATTAACACCACACTCTGGACAACGAACATACTTGTTGCTATGTTTACTATTGATATGCCTGTTCAAGTTGCTTTTTTGGGAGCAGCAATGATCGCACTCTTCACATTTGAAAGGCTTCTCTTTAGAGTGCACAAGCATATGCTTTTTCAAGTAAGAAACCCTTTTGTAGCATAGTTTGCATGTCTCCATTTTTGGTGATGTGGATCTCTTACATTCTAATGCTGCCGATAATACTAGTGGTTCATGTTTAAAAAAGAGTTGTGACTCTTGTGAAGACTCCATCAACTCAAAACAAGATTCTATCTACACAACAAGAGAACTTAATTACGTATCATCTCAAGCAGAATACTTGTATGAGAATAATTGTTTTGACGTACTACTAACCTCATTAGAGAGACAGCTATTGTCAAGAAATTGCTGTTCATTATTATGGTTTTCATCCATCTCAGTCATTCTGAAACAATAACATAAGGATTTGAAATTAATATCCTGAAATTCAAATAGTTTCTACTAAAACAATACAAAATACACTACAAGTATCTTGCATGTTATATGTATGCAAAGGAGCAGTAAAAACTATTAATGATACAAATGATCAAAGTTTGACTATTTAAGTAATTAATAAGTGTGACTATTTTTACCCAAACGTTGATAAAATTTGAGAGTGACTTCGCAAAGTAATTTTTCACGAACGCAGATAAAATCACGACGCAGAACGTGTACTTTGGACGAGGGGATCCCTACTCAGTTGTACCACAGCTCTACACACTTTCGCGAGCTTTCACAAAATTTGAATGCGGAAAATTCAGAATATGATAAACCAGCAGTAAAATGTGAAGAACATCATTTCAATTTTCCTCATGAGGAATAGGAGGAATAGAGAAAGACAGGTAAAAAGACGACTGAAATTTATTATGTTGTCAAAACTGGGCAACCCCATAACCACTTAACTGCTTGGTAGAAACAGCAGCTTACTGAAATCGGATAGGGGAACCATAATGATTAGGAAATTATCTATGGTTTCACTAAAATCACCTTTTTCCTTCCCTAGTCAAATAAATAGGGATGACGTCCTAGATTTTTGAATGTGGTGAATTGGGTGTCTCGTCCAATTCTGTGCTTTGAATTTTTCATACAACTGCACAGATGGCTGACAAGTGGTCTGCTATTTTCCGTCTTCTGCTTGTTTTCGTTTCTAGCCAACAGCTTTTGTTGGGTTTTATCCTTTTAGCTCAGTTTTGTTAGATTTTTGAAATGTTTGCAGAGGTGGATGTATTTATCAGTAACTATACTTTAGTTGATCCAGAGGTTTATCAACTTTGGATAGATGGAAGCTCATGTGAGTAATGGTTATGTCTTCAGATAAAAGAATATAATTGCTAACTTTAATGCATTTTGTCATTACCCTAATATAGATGGTTTAACCAATGCTAACGTATATTGAAACTGCATGTAGAGTAATTTTTCTACAAAATATTATTCCAGTTTACATGAATCGTATGACTTTGTTATTGTTCAACTCTTTTTGACAAACGTTTTTGTACTAATATCATAAAATGTTTCTGATTTTATCAGCATCCGAGGCTGTAAAATGTCTCCAAGAGGGAGGTGTCACACTTCAAACTGGCGCTACTCTGGAATTGGTGGCATCTGATGTGCTTGACCATTACCGGACTTACAGCCTGTTGGAAAAACTTCTTCATAATCCTCCTAAACTTGCTGAGCAGCTGGCCTTTCAAATTGAGCCTCAAACAAGGGGCTTTTTAATTGAAAAGTATGTCTTTTGTGGGCCTTTCTAAAAGTTACTTTATCACATTCTTTACTAAGAAATATTTATTTGGTTCCAGGTATTATGATTTTGATGACGCTGTAATTCGTGAGCTACTTGGTAAAAAGTTATCATCCCGCCATCGAAAAGATTTAGATGAAGTGAGTGAGAAAACAAGGGTCCAGCTGAAGTCATGCAGGTATGATTTTTTAATTACCTAATCGGGTTCTGAAAATTAATCTGATTCGCACTGATCAACAACCAAATGTCCCCAAAATGTAGACGACAATTCGACAATGTTAAACGTGTTTTCAAAACTGTAGAAGAGATGCAAGGATCTGTTGTGAAAAATGTAGCAAAACTATTTCTTCTTCCTGAGCCTCTTGCAAGGTATTTTTCTTTCATTTAAATCTGTGCATTGTCAGGATAAGTTACATATGACACTCGACCAAGAGAGTGTTTTAAAAATGTGGTCTCTGTTGCAGACGCTATGGAGCAGTTGTCTTTCTGGCCTGTATGAGATTTGAAGCAGGGAAAAGAAAACTCCAGTATCTAACATTTTCAGATTTTTGCCATTGTGCCGAAGCTATGATGTCTTCATGGACTTATAAAGATTCCCAACAGGATTATGATGATACTGATCTGGACAGAGAATATCTTCTAGACATCAGAGAATTTAGAGTGCTTTTAGATAAAGAGAAAGAGCACAAACAGTTAGTAGAAATTATTCACACACTCAATTGGTGTCAGCGAAAAAGGTGTGCCTCTCTTAGATTTTGTATTCCACTAATATGTCTCACGTTTTTGTAGCCTTGTCTGCAATCGTCTCAAGCCACAATTACTTGAGCGCGCTTATCAGGAACTTGAATCCAACTTCAGATCATACTCACGTGCGATTGTGGGAATTGCCTGTAATCTCCATCGCTCCAGAGACCAGAGGTATGTCAATTTTGTGAAACCTTTGTGTGCCTGTGTGGTATTTGTTTGTTAAATAAGTAAAAGTTTTAATTGTGCTTGTAGGAACCTATTTGTTGATCTTGTGGAGAGATGCATTGAACCTTGGAGACAAGCTCATTGGTCCTACAGTGATCTTAATAATTTTCTCACAGTATATACAAATAGTGCTCTTGAGTTGGATGTCTTTCAAGACAGTGATTTAAAAGCTGCCTGGAGTCGTTTTATGAATGTCATAACATCTTGCTTACTTCGAATGTTTCATACTTGAAATACTAAGGAAGATTTATGTGTATTAAACCTTATACAAATAATGTTAAAACTTAATTAGGTAATAAATTTTTATTTTAACTGCTATTAATCTGTAATATGTTTCCCAAACTTGGCAATTAATAGTGGTTTGTCACTGTTTACATTTGTAAGTGGGCACTTTATTACACACAATAGATTACAGCATTTATCAACAGAATGGAATGTATTCTTTGGGGCAAGGATTCACAGCTACAACATTTGACTTATTTTAACAAGATAAGATCTAAGTATCAACAATGCTAACAGTCAATAATATTAAAATAAAACAACTATAAATATATATATAAAAACAAAAAACCCAAAAAGAAACAAAAATACATAGGCAATAAACCAACTACAACAAAGTCTCATCATTGGGCAGAGAAAGGAATGAATTCAGTCTGAGTGAAAGAGAAAAGAAATGTAAACCTTAAGTTTGAACACAAGCGGTTACTTTGGTGCAATCAGTCCTACACACATGTCGAAAGTGTTTCCATCAGGCTGTACAGTAAAGGTTTTACCATTTTTTTCTCGAACAAGTAAAAATCCAAATTCATCTACACCTTGAATAACAACCTGCTTCTCATTTCCTGATGTATCTCGCACTACAATTTCAGCATCACTGTAAAAAATAAACCTTTTTCAAATTACAGCATTCCACAATATTAGATTAAATGGTACATTGGTAATGATTCCCTTCACTTTGAAACACTGACAAAAAGGAGGGTTAAATGTTACTGTACCTGTGCAACCAAAATTTATAGTAAAGGTCCATCACCTGCGCCTCTGAATAGTTTTGCATCAGAGACAACAGACGTTCCAGTTCTGTAAAGAATATTGCCAACCACTTTTCTAGAGAAAGAGTAGGAACTTTCCCACCTGATCTAGCATTATACAACATGATTTGCTCATTAATGCATGTTGTTGGATCTCTATTGTCAAGATTGACGGCAAGACCTGTAAACAGAGATTGGTTCATGAAATTCAGATCCCCGATCAACCAGTGGTATTTTCACTAATGACAATGACCCTCACCAATATTACATATAAGATTTGTTCCTCTATTAGTGCATGAGAGTACAAGTCCTCCAATTTTAATGAGATCATTATCACAACAGATGTAGATATCATTAGGCCACTTCAGATGTAAATCTAGTGCTTTTCCAACATCTGGCAGATTGGTGAGAGCCGAGACAACAGCTGTTGCTACAACATGTTGGATAAGAGATGCACGTTGTCCAAGCGGTGAAGAAAGAGGTACAATCAACTGGACAGTGGACATTGCACAACCTTCAGGGCTAATCCACATATTACTGCCACGACCACGTCCAGTAAGTTGCTGCCGAGGAATTATTGCAAGTCCATGCCACAGTTGCTCATATCCTGTTACATTCATGGAGCTACCCATCGCTTCCGAATAAATTACCAGACGACCAAGCCAGTCGGTGCGCAGATTCTGAAAATCATTAGGAGGAATGGTGGTATTACTAGTTTCTTAGATTTCTAAATACAAGTGAAAATATAGCATTCAGTTTACAAATTTAGACCAACAACACAACGAAGGTATCAACAGTATTCATATTGAAAACTTACATCAAAATATTCCACTGTAGAGAAAGATGGTGGACAAGAATGAAGAAGAATAGGAAACAGACGCTCACTAGCAGTAGTGGGTTTCTCTCCTTTACCACAAAACTGAAGTTCCAGATCACCATTCTTCAGAATATTTCCATTCATTCTGCTTCTAAGAGATGACAAGAACTCTTGCTTCAGCTTAATTAACAGAAATAACATTAAAGAACTGTATAAGTTTACAAATTCATATACTTTTTCATATATAATTAGGTTGTTGTTAGGATATACCTCGTGTCGACCAAGGAAATAACCTTGAGTAAACTGATTATTGGAAGCCCGAGCGCTGTCTCCACATTCCATGTCAAGATGGGATACAAGAAGATCCCGTAATATTTCTCTTCTTGCTCCATCACTTTGCCTCAAAGTGGAGTATTTTCCTTCTTCACTTTCATACTGAGATGGATCTTCTTCCAGGTGAACCTATTGGCATATGAAAGAAACAATTTATCCCACACCCACAAAGACTAAAAAGAGTACTGAAAATAAAAGGGAAAATGGCCAAGAGTGCACGAGTGCAGGAAATGACACCAGCAAAGTGATTGTGTGCTACAAAGTTTGAACAACACTACTGCATGAATTTTAATAATATTAAGATTAGCTACCATTACTGTATTATAATTAAAAAAACAAAAAAGAATTGCTCTCATAAAAAAGCATATACAGCTTGCAATATAGGTAGAAGACTAGAAAAATGACTAGCAAATACATGATAACTATTGGCTGCAATGCAAAATATTCTTTTCAGTCAGACATTTACAGGTAACCTCCATGCACATTTTTCCTTGAGATTTCTTTTAGCCTGAATAAAATTCATAAAATGATTGAATTAAGGCCCTTTCATCAACATGTTCATAAAGGCCATCAGAAGCGTAGAAAAAAGAATCAGAGAGGATCAAATCAATGAGCTGAAAAAAAAGACTCGCCATATTCTTCAGCAATGGTTCAACCTGGTAAGTCTCCCAAGTGTCCATCTCCAAATGTACCTGTACGTGTACATGATGACTTTAATGAATAAAGCATGAAGAGGAAACATCTGACATTTGGTTGTCTAAGGATTCTTTTCTTTTCTTTTTTATCAAAATACCACTATGCTATAGAAACTTATGCAAACTAAAGTTATTTACGTTAATAAATATCCAGTTCACTCATATATGGCTCAAATGAGGCAGTTAAAAAATTATTGTGTGCTAATAAGTCTAAAGTTACAGATAACAAACTTTCCCGATGAAATGGAAACATTTTCTGCCTAGGTACCGAAATCCAGCAGGAATTTCATGCATTGGTTTGGTAGGTACTAAAGAAAGAATTAGATATGATTCACTGGTCTAAGGCCAGCACTGTATAATTTGTTTCTCTTCTGAACCTTTTACACCGTAGCAAGTTCTGGAGTAATCTTGACTTTGAGAAGAAGTGAGGGTTTGAAACATCCTTACCTGTGAGAATACAATTTTTCCTGCACCAGGTCCAAAGCCAGTTGACGCTAGTAGCAGACTTGGTGTCTGCCAAGTTTCTTCCGTCCCAAGCACTTGGACTTGAAGAGTATGAAGGCGATTTTCAGAATCCAGTACTTCTACTGTTGCTGGGGTTGCAGGTGGTTTTCCACTTCTAAGAAGAAAAACAATTTTTTAAAAAACTACTTGCTAAATAACATATTTTATATGCAGAGATGTCCATTAAAAAAGTATGACTAACCCAATGTTGCCACATGTTGATGATTTTGGATCACCAACAGGGAATCTTGTGTGAACAGGAGATGCTTGATAGCAAAAGACATGGTGCATCATTGGCACATTCTTCCATCTTGAGTATGAAAATCGTACTAATTCATGCTGACGGACTTCGGCTGTTCGGAAAGTAGGTAGAACAAGATGAAGAAAGTCAGAGCACAGGCATAGTATGCGCCCACCATTCAGCACATAGGATAGAAACATTGGGGCAAGAGAGTCAGGAACGCTTCCACATATAACAAGTAATCTTGTTCCTTGCATCCAGGGATTCGATGACAATGACTGCCGAGTCATGCTGTATATAACATACCTAAAAGAAGCACATGACAATTAGACATTCAAACGATAAATTATCCGATTAATGATGATGATATACATGAAACTTTTCATACTTGTATCTGTGCAGTGTGTTTTTAAGAACATTTAAAACATTGTCTTGTGCCACAGTGCTATCTGAATAAATAAGAACATTGGGAGGTTTTGATATGGTTGAAGATATCGAAGATAAAGAAAGAGTAGAATAAGCTGCTGAAAAATTTGACCGAGCAGGTGATGGTTTAGGTGATATTGCAAGGCAAGACAAAGTCCCACTAAGGGAATCTTGGGAGCAAAATGAATCAGAGCTGCGTCCTCTGAAAGGAAACAAAAAAGTTGTAACTATAGTGAATACAATAAAATAGAAGTGCAAGAAAAGTTATTTGATACAAACCCAGCAGATGCTATGTGAACATGTGGCTCTTCCAAACGGCTCATATGTTTTGAATTGCAGGATTCAGCCTGTAACTGACTTGCTTCATCTGGGAAAGCATCAGTTTCATCTTCCACATCAGGAATATTTGATAAAGAATCAGAAGACCCAGCAACTACTAGCACTTCTTTCTGTCCATTAACAGGCACCTGTTTTGGAAATGTATTTCCAAATGAGAGCTGACAGTTTCAAAGTACGTAGTAATTCTTTTGAATCACTGGATAAATCAATATACCTGGTATCCATTCACTGACGCATCTTGGGCAGCAGATGTAATGTACTGTAACTGTTCCATAAAGGAAATACCTGTTGCACTATCCTGATCCTCTGAGCCTGCATAATTTCATGATTTAAAAAAAAAAAAAAAAAAAGAAAAGAAAAACATAAGAGTACATACTTTGCAATTTAAAGTAGACACTACTTTGAAGACTGAAAGGAAAATCTAAATAGCCTGACTGTCTTACCTCTAAGACTTTGTGGATATTCATACATCCTACAGGGTTCTCCTTTTGCAACAATGGCTGCAGAGGTTTTTTTTTGTTTTTTATAGGTCTTAGTTACAGTGTCATTTTAAAGTATAATACAATTATTAAAAAGTGGAATAAGGTTTTCTTACTTTGAATCCTTGTCATCTCCAAATTTTGGTGGAATGCAAGACGGTCCACCATGAAACATCCACACAAGCTGATGAGGTGTTCTATGTCTGTTTCCAGTATTAGACCAAATGTATCAGCTGCGAGCCATGCTTGGCATATTCCAAATTGTTCCAACTTGGAAAAGCAAACCACATACATCCAATTAAAAATACCACTGTTTCCAATTTACTTAAATTTGCGTACAATATAAGAGCCTCACCTCACAATGATGCACTTTGGTACAGTCCAACAGAGATCGGTACTCTGCTTCAATGAGGACATGTATCCGACTCTCTGCAATAAGAGGCGGTGAGTTCTTTTTTGAAGATTGAATGGGAAACCGAGTAGACTCATTCGGAAATGCTATCCAAGGAGATAGATCAATAAATTGCTGGAAAAGAATAAAGATCAGGTAGTGATAAAAATATCTATGGCCAAAGATGCCAGAAACATTTTCCATTCTCCCAAATCAATACAAACCTGAGGTAGAATGGAGCATGCCCTCTTTGAATCATGATACCATAGTAAGTCAACAACTCTTGCTTCATTTTCGTTTTCACACAGTGTAGAACTTATGCCACGCAAAAACTGACTCCATATTCCTGTGAACAAATCAAAGCAACTCATTCAGTATTTTTAGCCAAAAAATAGCCCTGACAGCCGATACCAACTGTAGAGCTTATGACCATTTTAAGAGTAGATGATAAAGTCTGCGGAGTAACTTTGTCTTCCACTTTGAGAGAAGAAAATGCAAAAACTTACGAGTTGAACCACCTTGCTGAACAGCAGCAGATACATCGGGTTCATGGTACAAGACAAGACCTGCACCGTGCGCTATGATTTCATTCACTTTAGCGCGTATCGCGCTTAATCTCCAGGCTTGGAACCATGTGGCAGCCATGTAATATAGCGTGAGAAGCATTCTGAGAGGTGGGGGGTATCACTAAAAGAACAAATGCAAATAACATGCTTGGTAAAAGATAGCTACATACATCATCATTAACATAAAAAGAGTTCAGGCTTAGCAAAAAATAAAACATATAAAACAAAACAATAGGGTCCTATTTTAATAAATAAAATGAAGACCGCTTTAATCAAAATTGTTTGAGTGTCTGCTAAGAAATCCAACAATAGGTTATATTGAAATGAATAATAATTATCCAACCAAAATACCCCATAGCACACAAGAGTTCAATGAGCGACAATTGTAAAATACCAGCCACACTCGTCACACCATGTTGAATTAATAGAAAGCTGCTGCCACGAGAATAAAAGGTTTTAAACGTTTCGAATCTTTATCGATCCATGTATGTAAAACTCAAAACTGACTAGTGCTTCTGCAGACGACGTAGCGCTTATTCGCAGGATGCAACCACCTGCAACTAACTGCCTGGCGTTCTTCGAAAAGGTGTAATGACACTATTGGCAGGACGCGAGCGAAACATCACAAGCTGCAATAAGCCGGTCAGTTGTGTTTCAAAAAGGACTCAAATCCGCTATATTGTTTGCTGTCATTGACTCCTTACACGAGGAAACATAGCCTGCTACTGATATGTGACTTTCCTTTTCATCAGATAGTTTCATACATTGTGCAATTGGTAGATCATCCCCCATAATGACTTCTGCAGTGAGTTTTGTCTTCACAAAAGTGAAATTTAATAACTAATTACAGTTCCACGTTATGTTTTTAACAATCTAGTATATATTATATGTATAAAATTGATATTTGAAATAATTGCCTCTTTTAGGAAGCCATTGTTGTTGTTCTGGATGTTGGACCAAGTGTTGCTCGAGAAATTTCGCCAAATGGAGAAACCTTTCTGCAAAATGCACAACTCTGTGCTACAAACATTATCCAAAGAAAGGTAGTCAACAAAATAAGATGTATTCAGAAATATTAATGTTGTTGATTTACAAAAACTGTTCGGAAATTGAATAAGTGTATGAATGTGCCTACAGATTCTTTCACAATCAATTGATGAAATCGGGCTCATAATTGTTGGTTCTGAGGAAACTAATAACCCACTTGCTGATGATGAGGGTTATAAGAATATCGAAATAGCTCACTCACTGCGACGAGCCAACTGGAGCATGGTCAAGTCTATAGCTAAATATCAAAAAGGTACTGAAGCAACTGGAGACTGGTTGGATGCATTGATCGTGGCTGCAGATTTCATAAAAACATCTACTGAGTATGTACTAAATTTGCAAAAACTTTTACAAATCTGGTTAAAAGGCTTTAGTTCTGAATGCTCATCTCTCTTACATGTCATTTTTTAGGGGCAAGATATTTAAAGAGAAGAAAATAGTCATGCTGACCAATTTCTGCTCTGATGTTAGTGATGATGAAGTTGATTGTATTATCCAAGGCTTAAAGAATGAAAACGTTCAAGTCATTGCTATGTAAGAGTATTTTTTTATATTGAATATTTTGAAGGAGTGGCATATTTAATGAAAACTTTTATCATTTTAGTGGGCCACAGACAGCCTTCAGTGAATCTCAGGCATCTATTGCTCATGAATACAAAAGTAGAGAACAGGAAGAAGGAGAGAAACTTATTGCTAGGATTGTCAGTGAGGTGTGTTGTACAGTATGAAAATCGTCAGCCTAGCAGGCTGCAATTAATAAGGAAAGGCTTGTTAACTAGACCATTGAATAAATTTGTAGGTTCCAAAAAGCGTAATTTGTAGCTTTGAAGATGCTATTCCTCAACTTATGTATTTTGAGGTAAAGAAAACCAGGCCAACACCATGGAAAAGTGAATTGACAATTGGTTCAAGCATAAAAATACCAGTGAAGGCGTTTGTAAAGGTATTCCTTAAATATTTCAACACATTCAGTGTGGCAGTGCATCCTGGGGGTTAGAAAAAACAGCAAAGATTGACCATATTGTGGATGTGCCGCACTGAATGTGTTAACATTAATGACCTCTCTATCTTAATTATTAATCTAAAATAAATTTAATTCTTATTCTTGACATTCTTATTCATTTTAGATTGCTGAAACAAAACCATTTGCCACCCATGACATTATCATACCTGAATTGAGAAATATATCATCAGGTCATTCTATCCCTGTGTTACCTTCTACTCAGGTTGGTTCAGTATACATGTACAAATACTTCTAGATCAACTAGGAATTACATCTAGATACTGTATTTTGTGCCATAATCATGTCTCTTCCCTTTGTTTTAGAATGTTACTGATGATGAACAAAAGCCAAAGATTGATTTGGAAGATGAAGAGGTGTCTGGTAGTGGAAAAGACTTTGGCCTGATTGATAGAGACCGTATTTACCAAGTGAGTGGAAACGATGCAGAAGCAGTGGATGCTGCCGATGTCATTGAAGGCTATATGTTTGGAACAACCATTGTACCTGTCACAGGTATTGCTGTTGTGGTGACACTTTTGAATTGTACTTTTTGTGCCCCAAGCATAAAACTGTGTTAATGGTTTCAGATGATGATAGACCACAGCTTGATTACTCATCAGGTGAAAAGTGCCTCAGTGTCTTGGGCTTCACTAAACAGCATAATGTTCCATTTTATTTGATTTCTGGTAAAGGCTGTCATGAAGTCTATCCAGAAGATGATGAGGTTGTTGCATTGTCATTTTTTCCCTCTCCTTTTTCTTTTCAAAATGTCAAAATGTCTTTACATTGCAATTACTTCTAGTTTAAATACTTTTTACTCTATTGAAGATAAGCAATGTTCTACTTAACAGCCCATTCTTCATTTCACATTTTAGGACAGCAAACGAGCTTTCTCAGCATTAATTCAAGCCATGGATTCTAATGACATGATTGCAGTTGTCCGTAAAGTATACAGATTAAATGCTGTTCCAAAATTGACTGCATTATTTCCCATGATAACACCAGAATATCAGGTTAATTTTAATTTTTTTCCTTCCAATTTCCATGATGTGTTTATGTTGTAGATGTAGAATGTTCTAATAAATCTCTGTTGCCAGTGTTTAGTAATGCTAGAACTACCGTTCTCAGAGAGTGTTCTTACACTTGTGCTCCCACCATTGGTAACTGAAAAAAATAAACCTACAGATGAACAGTTGAAAGCTGTTGATGAGCTTATGTCAAAAATGAACCTGATGGATCATGATGAGTAAGTAAAACAGACCTGATCTTTCAGGTAAAACTGCACTCTCTTTAGTTATTCGGTTTTTATTTTTTTCTCAAAAGGGAGGACTCAGAGAATGGCGCATATGACCCTCACAAAACACTTGACCCATACATGCAGCATTATCAAAGTATAGTGGCTAAGAAGGCATTAAAAGGCGGTAAGAGTTATAAATATGTATAATCTTACACTGTGCATTTACTTTTAGAATAATCGCTTTACTGTCTTTATTTTAGATTCATTCATTAGCAGGTCAGAAACTGATCAAGCTGTGAAACAGCTACTTTCACCTAAAGAAGAACTTGTTGAAGCAGCACTGCCTGCCTTAGCCAAAATAAAAACTCTTTTCCCCCTTACTAAAGTGACTCCTAAGGAAGGAGCTCGAAAAGCTGCAGTAGATTTGTTTCAACAGTTAGTGCATGAGACATCTCTTTATTTTCATGTTTTAAAATTGTCTAGTATTGATACCTAAATCTTATTTTCAGAAATGCACCCGACTTAAGTACTCAAACAGTTAAGCAACCTTTAGATGTGAAAGACATAAAGCATGATATTGGAACTGTGCAGCCTGAGGAAGATTTCAAGACACTTATTAATCAAGGATTGCCTCTTGATAAAGGTGCATTACATGTATTTTAATCTCAATTCACCTCTCCTGCCCATGTGTCTCTTTTTGAATTATTTTGAGATGGCATTTATTTCTCTTTTAGCATGTGATTTACTGATGAAAGTCGTATGTGATTTGATACTACAAGCATTTGATGCTGATGATTTCTTAAAACCTGGCAAGTGTTTATTAGAAATGCGAAAGGTGTGCCTAGAGAAAAATCATTTGATGTACAACAACAGTATTACCAAACTAAGAAAAGATCTTCCTCTTGAAAAGAGTGATTTTTGGGAGCTGGTTGTAAGGAGTAAGTTCCTTCATCACAGCATTCATAGAGAGATCAGTCTCTTGGTGAGGATATTTACTAAAATGGCATTATTTCCAGGTCAAGCAGGTCTTATTACTTCATCTGAAACTGATCAGAGCACAGTTACGACCGAAGAAGCTAAAGAATTTTTGGAAATGATAACAGTAAAAGATGAAATCTTACAACCTAAAACCACTGACGAGTTTGATGATTTGGTTTGTACTCATACCTGAAACTGAATTATTAATCTAGTAATTTAGTTTAACTCCACCTTAATTATTCTTTGCAGATTGATGAAATGTAGACAGACAAGACCTGTGTTTGTCTTTCAGATTGTTGGTACTGAACCAGAATGTTCACACACTATACATCATGGAATTATGGAATTTTCTGATTTCCGTCTGGGAGATGAAGTTGTGCCAGCATGTTTTGTATTTAGAATACAAGTAATTTATTATTCAAAAACGTTGTTTTCCAAGGCACAAATTTAAAATTACTATGGTGAAGTCAACATCACCTTTGAGCATCCTCTTCATCTTCCTCCTCCTCTTCGTCATCATCATCATCCTCCTCCTCCTCCTCATCCTCTCCACCATCTTCTTCATCGTCTTCCTCATCTACTCCATCCTCTCCTTCGTTGTCGTCATCCTCCTCTTCCTCCTCTTCAGCACCTTCATCATCCTCTCCTTCACTTGATTCTGAGCTGGATATATTATCAGTTATGCCTTCTCTTTTCATAATTTCTTTATATTCTCTAACAGTTATCTTTTTAGGAATGATTTCTGAAAATGTTAAAATACTGTGAACTGTGAACATAAAAATAGGTTCCAAAATTTTTATTTTGAAGATCAGACTTACCTCTTAGGAAAAATAAATTGCTTTTGGCTTGGACTACTTTTGCAACATCAGAATATTCAAGCTTAGATCCATCACCACTTTTTAAAGCTTCTTTGGCCAAGGTTTGAATAAACAGCTCCTGAGATAAGAAAAATTAACAACATAACTGGCTGAATGCAACATAAGAGCAACTACAATCAAATTGTCTTGAATAACACAGAGGCAAGAATGAAACACTCTTCAGTATATTAAATAGACACCTGTTGATTATAATAATTTTTGAAAGAGAAGAGGTGTAAAAAGACACAAACAAAAACATAACCTCGCGTTTCTCATTCTCACAGCTAGTTTGAACGCCTCAATCTCTGATTCTTACCGTCGCTCGAGTAACAACAGCCAAAGAGTCTTGAGGAACAGAATCTACATCTGGTGAGCTCTTCATTATGGTTTTGACTCTTGATATGGGCAGTTGCAGCTCTTTCATGTTGCTAGACATTGTACTCGAAACTCTAAAATGACTGGAACCAAATTGAAAGGAGGATACACAACAACTCTCTCAAGCGTCCGTCGCCCGCCACACTCCACTCCCGCCTGTCCGCTTTTTTCAAAAGTGCCAACTGCCATCACTGCAAATTTCGCCTGTGTGATGGAAATTTGACAAATTTATGCAGGGTTATGAAATTAAATTTTAAAGTGAGATATTCTTAGATGTAATTTCAGTCATTTGATTTATTTGTTTTCACTATCATTACGCTAAGACATTTTCATTGTAGTCACCAAAATTGGCGACAGGAAGTTTTCATCATCAATTATCTGTCGTCTGCTGTGTCTTAGTCCCGCGGGCGTCAGTGAGTATTTCAAATATCTTCGTACTTTATTGCAACATTTTGTCACACTTAGTATTTCTGACGTTTCACTTTCAACTTAACACTTTTATCTGACTCTAAAATATCAACAAAAATATTAACATTTGTATTGACCAGGGCTTGTGCGCTTTTACCGACTCGTGTACTCATTCAAAGGTTATAGGAACCACTTGTCGAGTTTAAACTGTATCAAATGTAAAGCTATTAATTAATTAAAAATAACTGTAATTTCTTACCTAAAGACTTTTTTCTACTCTAATTGTTGAAAAAGTTATTGCTGACGTCCGTCAAGTTTTATTTCAGTCGTGTGCATTCACTTTGGATAGGCACCCATTTGACAGTTAACAGGTGTCTTCAATCGGAATATCGGATTATAGTGTATATCGAAGTTTATCCCTATATCTATCTGCCTCACATTTCCTCATCCGACGATCAGGTTCAGCACCCTGTATCGGTGACCCACGAGTAACATTTTTTCCAGTGTAGACCGGTACGTTACATAACCACTAACGGTAACCCGATCCAGCGTGGCTAGGCGGGGAGGATCCTAGCCGGCTCCAGCTTCAGCGTGACCTTCGCCGGAGTCTGGCTGGAGCCACATTCTCTCTCTAGCTCTACAGCCGTAGCTTTCGACGGAGTGTTCCTCGCTAAAGTAGGGTGTTATATTTCTCTCCAGAACCAATCAGGTGTTCATATTCTGAAAATGCCTGCTGGTGCATTGCAACCTTTCTGGGGGCAGAAGACTTTCTGTGTCCTCACTGGAGCCAGTCAGGGTATTGGCAGACAGTTCGCCATCGAGTTCGGCCGCAAATTTGCCAAGGAATCGGTATTGGTTCTCATTGCCCGCAACAGCCAAGGTTTGCAAGAGACCAAGCGAAGAGTGGGAGAAGCTAATCCTGATATTCAAGTTATCTGTCACCCAACTGATTTGGCGAAAGGGAATGCTGCTCTCTTCAAGGGCATAATTGAAGATTCATTGAGTAATGCAAAGGTGTCTCCTGGAGACTTTCAGTTGGCTTTCATTGTTCATAATGCCGGATCGCTTGGTGATGTTGGACCAAGTGTTGCTGAATTGAATGATGCAGAGCAATGGAGTGAATTCCTAGCTTTGAACATTACATCGACATCTATCCTCAACTCTGAGTTTCTGAAGGTTTGTAACTTAAATTATGCAAGTAATTCAACTGCAACAATTCTATTTTCCTTCTATATTTGTAATTGCTTTGTATTTCTAGGTTTTCCCTAAAGGATCAGTCCCTTACAGAACTGTGGTCAATGTCACATCATTGTGTGCTGTTCAGCCATTCTGTTCTATGGGGCAGTACTGTGTTAGCAAAGCTGCTCGAGAAATGTTTTTCAAGGTGACTGAAATGATTATTAGAAACCAATCATCATTTGTAACTGTCCTATACAATAATTTTTTTTCTGCATTGCAGGTCTTAGCAGAAGAAGACCAATCTTTGGATGTCCTGAGCTACTCTCCTGGTCCAGTTGATACTGATATGACTATTACAATCATCAATAAAACTCGAGATGCCAAAACTCGTGATGCCTTTGTCGACATGAAAGAAAAGAAAACAATAGTGACTTGTGAGCAAACAACACTCAAAGCTATTCAGGTTTTGTCCAACAAGCAATATAAATCAGGTCAGCGTGTTGATTACTTTGATGAGGGGTACTAAGTTTTGCTATGTATTTTTTATGAAATGATGAAAAAATATGAGTATGCTTCTGAACAAATGAATTGATACAATTTGGTTGATAATTTATTAATATCAATCTTGGCTTAAATTCAAATGAAAATACCACAATTTTATGGTTGATGGAAAAGCTCTCTCTATAAATCTTTTATTCCTTAAATGTTTTTAATAATGTGAAGTGATATTTTTGTTTAAACAAATAAAACAAATGAGACTAAACTTTTGCTGTTCCAAAAATTGATAATTTTTTTTCAGTCTCAAGCAGCTCCAGCTTTTTGAAGAATTGTTTTTAACTCAACTATTAGAGGTCCAAATGCTTTTAAATAGCCATCATTCGAGGGATAATACCAATCAACTAGGTCTACATGACTTATTGTTCCATCAGCCTTCACAATACCGTCTCCTACAGGTATTACTTTACAATTTTGTTCAGTTTTTAGGGATTCCTTTAACAAGTTGTTGAATGTTTCAATAGAATCTCTGAGAGGATTGGGATTTAGACCTCTTGGTAAAAGTTCCTAGAACAATGAGGAAGCACATTTAAATAGTCTCAAAATTAAACTTTGATGTTGAAATTATTTTAAACCTGAGGCCTACCTGAATTAAGACTTGAGCTTCCTGCTGCTTCTCTTTTATTGTTTTAACAAGCTCAAGGAGACCTTCGATTGCTTCTTCGGGTTTTGAAGTTCTAATATTGAATTCACCAACATATAACACAACCACCTGGAAACATTGATGGATTGCTCAAGATGAAATTTATACTTCAAAGGAAAAAAAGATATGATTGAGTGTTACCTTTGGCTTAATGTTGTCCAACTCTCCATTTTTTACTCGCCATAAAACATTTTGAACTTGATCTCCTATAATGCTGAAGTTTAAGATGTGCATAGGAGCAAATACCTCTTTCCACACTCCCCTCTGCTCCAATTGTGAAGTAATAGAATCACCTAGGATAACAACATCTGGTTCCCGTTCCTTGGTTTCACTCAGAAATCTATTGTGCTAAAGAAGCAATTTGTTTATTATTAATTGATTTTGTAACTGGGGATACTGTAAACACATTATCAACATATTCTAATTGATCTAGACAATGTTCTTACAATGTGCATCCATCGATCACCATCTTCACCCCTTGATGGGGCAGGCTGAGGTACAACGCAAGGGTTCATTTCTCAGAAAATTTGACTTCAAACTCACGAACTTTGACGTTTTGGGACGACCCAACCTCAACTTCCTGCCATATGTTGATATGAAAATTTGCCGTTCCTGGTAGAGTAAACTTCTACAGCACACGTCTTTAAGTCGCCTGATTCCATTCATACTAATTTGGCTTCCATAAATATCCATTTCATAGTAAGAGATAAATTCCATTTGATCAGAGAGAAAACAAGTCCACTTTGTCAGGTGAAATTTCGTTTTTGATCGGCGTTTATGTTGTAAGGATTGGTAGAACTGGATTTTGACAGCGCCTTGCTTGACGAAAACAAGGCAACAAAATCTTTGCAAAACAAAGACAGTCTTGAGACGTCTTTTTCATTTGAAAAATATGCCAAGAGATATTTTAATCAAGAACTACCACATCATACATGTGTGGACACAACTTTTCAGGGACGTCAGAATTATGATCTTAAGCAGAGGCGCCTTTTGGCGCCGTGTGCATCTGGCGCCAAGAGGGTGAGCAACCCGTTATTTCATTGGTGGAGGATTTTCGTGCGACCAATCACAGCACTGCAATCGACACTGTACTGGCCCATCGTTTCTCGTACGTGAAGGAAAAAGGGTGGAGCCTAGCCGAGGCGTTAAGTACAATTTTTACTCCCCACGGCGTTTTTCGGTAGGAACAGACCTCTTACCGTTTGCAAAATTGTAGTGTGCATCATTTTGATAGTGCGGGACCGGCGAAACATGAGTGTTACTCTCACAAATATCTCTTATTCCTTCTTTTTTCGAAAGACATTTGAGAAGGTGGGGGGCGACCTTTCCCTGTAGTGTGAAGGAAGAGTGTCGGAAACCACCCTGGAGTGAGGACATTCACCATTTCAAATTGTTTGAAACCATTCCCCGAGCTTCAAATTTTGTCCGTCAAGCCCTACTGACCCCTTCTTTTGCTCTTTTCAGGCTCATTGTCCAGCCCCTCCCATCGGGCAGGGTCGGCGTCGGCGTCGCTCGGCGTCGTTCTCAACTCCGACGCGCCTCCTTCGGGGGGCGCCGGCGGCGGCGTCGGCAGCTGGGAGGGGACCAGCGCCATTTGTGACGAAGAGTGACACCTTAGTGTGGAGCTGCCACTCAAGTCGGGGAGCTCAGCCGGAGCCCAGGCCCGGCCCAAGGCGTTCAAGGCGCCGTCAGACTCGCGAGCAGACAGCCGACCCACGGCGAGGACACCCCGTGCGGCACGCGACACCCCGCCAGGACGAAGCAGTGCAAGGAGCTGCAGGACGAGGCGTGAACAAGCAGTGCACGGGGGTAGTGCGGTGCGTGTCGCGGGCGGGCGCTCGGAGGCGCGCGTGCCGTTGAGTGACAGGAGGGTGAGCTGCTCAGCTGAGAGGCCGGGCCCGGGTAGGCGGGAGGGCGGACCGGCGCCGCGCGGCGTGGCGTGGCGTGGCGTGGCTCCTGTCAATCATCGCGGCAGGCGGGCCGGGCGGGAGGAGGGAGGGCCCGCGGGGGGCCGGGGGCGCCACCGCGCCGCCAGTGGAGGTGCGACCGCGGCAGGGGCAGGCGCCACCGCGGTGTGTGTGCTCAGGGCGCGCGGCCGCGACCAGCACGACAAGCGGACCGTCCAGATGCACGCCGGCCGGGATCGACCGCCGACCACTGCTGCTGCGCCCCGACCATGAGCAGGTGAGTGAGTGTTGTGACTATGGTGATGCTCGTGATTTTGGCGTCATTGTGCTGCTCCCGAAAATGTTGGGGGTGGCGGCTCCAAGGTGGTTGGCCTGCACCAGTTTAAGGAGTTTGTCACGCTTTAGCACTTGTTCCACACCCTCGCCGCTGTCTCGGCGCCGCTGGTTGTCACTTTCTGCCAAGTAGTGCTTTGAAGCACTTCACCACTGCGCTACCCCCGGCCACCCCTGCTCTTGGCAGTGTGCGGCGAGTTTGGCGGGCGCTTCTTTCTTGGCGTCTCCCCGCTCGCTGCAGCGCGTCAGTTTTCCCCCTGCATTCATGATTATAATAAATGCCGTCGCGAAGAAGAAAAAGAAAAAAGTTGTTTCGCATGAGATTCGCCGCACGTCCGGTAATAAGCTCATCATCGCATACGCCCCTGCACGCCGCGGCTGTCCGCGCCTCGCGCCCGCGACACTTGTCACCTGCGCTCGGGTGCTTTTTATTTTTTCTTGTTCACGCATTACGGTTTGGCATGTGCCAGTGCCACTTCTGACCGTATTGAGCGACGGAAGCGTAAGGGGGCGACCATAGAATCAATATGTGTATCTAGTTTTGTCCCCGATTGTACGTTTTAATATGTGTGGACAAGCGGCCGCCGCCTCTCGAGCCCTCGAGCCCCCCCCCCCCTCCTGCGGACCCATTTTGCTTCTGTATAATCGTACACGCCGACTTTATTTCTCTAACTTCTCGTCGTATCATCATACCCTCACAAATACCCGACAATAAACATGGCAACGCATCCCACGCAGTTGCAACAACAGCTTTGCCGGTCGTTTCCCCCCATGCTCCTCGTCCACGGGGGAAGTTCACTCGTCGGAGGTGTTCACGGCGCTCGCTCGCTCACTCGCTCTCGGTCTCACGGGCGCGCGCGTGTGCGAGCGAGACGGTGGGTAAACACTTTGCGCGCCGTCGGGTCCGGTCGTCGGATTGAGCTGTAACAATTAGCCGGGGTGGGCAGCGTGACGGCCAAGTGTGATGCACCTGTCTGCCGGCCCGCCTCCCCCCTCGGGCCCGGCGGGCGGGGGCAGCGTCTACGGCGTCGTTCACGCACGACACACACGGCAGCCACGCTCCTTGATGGCGGCGGCGGGGAGCCCTCCTCGGTGGAAAAAGGGGGGAAGGGCGCGCACCGCAGCTAAAGTCGGTTGCGGCCTTAGCGGCGTACCGCGGACCTCTCCGCCATTCCCTCTCTGCTCCGTCTCTCTTTCTCTCTCTCTCTCTGCCGCTTCCCCTCGCTCTGCTTAGGGATGCTCTCCGGGGTCTCTGCTGGCGCGGCCGGGGCGGGCCGGGCCGACGCATCCAATGAATGAATGCATGTGAGGGAGGCGCGGGTCTCGGCATCGCCGCGTATATGTACCGCAAGCCCCAACCCGACCCTATGCGGCGCCCCGAGGCTGCGGGCGACCCCCGCGGCCGCGCAACCTCGGGACAATCTTAGGAGAACAACTGTGAGGAACCTCGGGACAATCTAAGAGAACTGGGAGCAACCTCGGGACAATCTAAGAGAACTGCGAGCAACCTCGGGACAATCTAAGAGAACAACTGTGAGGAACCTCGGGACAATCTAAGAGAACAACTGTGAGGAACATCGGGACAATCTAAGAGAACTGTGAGCAAACTCGGGACAATTCGCTGAGAGAACTGTGAGCAACCTCGGGACAATTCGCTGAGAGAATTGTGTGCAACTTCGGGACAATATGCCTATGCCTATAAGCAACTTTGTGCGACTCTCAAACACCGTGTATGTCTAGGCAACCTGTATGGTGGACAACCCAGACGTAACCTCAAGACAAATGTCTGTCCAAGCAACCTGTGGCAAACGTGAGCCACCCCCCTCGGCACTCCCGGTCCAGCTCCGGTCGTCCTGAGCACGAGGCTCTGGGCCCCAATTACCGGAACCGTTTTTTTTCTTCGCCCCGAGCCTTTCTTGCTCCGCACTGCTCTCCGCACGTGCGCATCTAGTTCAGCTCTGTTCACTTATTGTTTTCTTTCGCTCTAATCGCCCTGATTAGCTGCATGGCGCCGGCGGACTGGGGGCCGCCGAGTGAGATATACGACCACTTGTTGTTTTTTTTGTTTTTGCTTTTTTTAAATTCTATTTATTTCTTCTATTAGCCATTACCAAGGACCTCCGCGTTGCGACTGTGAACTCTAAACCCTGCTGCTCATCACCCTCTGTCGTCTGAATTCCTGCTTTTTTTCCAAAGTGCCCCCTACCCTCCCCCCTCTCCCCGGCCCTGGTGCTCCAGGGAGTGTACCCCCGGCCTGGGCTTGGGACGTGGCGGGGCGCGGCGTGGAACAGCAGCACAGCAGGAGCGGAGAGGATAAGGGAAGGTTTTCCGGGATTTCTGCAGCAGCGAAATGTCGCCGCTTTCCATTCGTGTCACATCGGGCGCAGCCAGCACACCGCCGGCCTCCTCCTCGAAGCCCCTCCCCCTTCCCTCTCTCGTTCTCCCTTGTCCCTTTTCTCCGTCCTCGTGTGTCCTTTTTCTACTCTCTCCCTCGATACGCCGTCCCGTCGCTTGCTGGTCCAATTTTGAGCCGGCTGGCGTATGTGTGTGTGTGGCTTGAATTGGATTTCCCTGGAATGACGCCGCGGTGGTAGGAGCCAGGGCGAGCCAGGCAGGCCAGGGCGGCGTCAGCAGCGGTGGCAGGTGATTAGGAGAGGTGACGCTAACGATGATGCTGCAGGTCCAGCCGTGGCCGGGCGTTACGTGTGGCGTTGCGGCAGCGTGACGAGGGGTGAGCGGCAGCCCAACCGAGCCCCGCCCTGTCCGCGCCCGGGGCGAGCGGGACAATGGGAGGTGTATGACGACGCAAGTAGCCAGCGAGTTGCGCACCTTGCTCTGCAGTGGTACCATATACCCCTCTCTCTCTTGTTCCACTTTGTACCGTACACATTATCTTAGTACTCTCTGTCTCGCTCTGTTCGCGCCCTTCACTTCACTTTGCAGCCGTAGGTCTCCAAAGACTGGAAGGCTCTCACTCCGGCCCTCGGCCCGTTGCACACCGGAGACGAGCGGGTTGCCTATCACAGATCGTAAGGCGCTCGTGCTGCCGCCCCGGTCGGTGTCCCCCGGCGCCCCCCTACGCTCGCCGGCGTGTAGGCCTAGGTTGCTTATTTTAAAGTGCGTGCGTGTGCGGGAGATGGAGAGAAAGAGAAATAGAAAGAGCGCGCAGGCAGACACGGTGGCATGCATGTGACGAGAGGCGAGTCCCTCTGTTTGGTGTGTTTGCTTTTTGTCATGCCGATAGTGCGCCGCACATGTGTCGGGCACGTCGTGGGCCGGGGGCGTGGCGTGGGGTAGCAGGGGCGGCGCGGCCTCTGGAACCTTCTGCAAGTCGCGGTATAAACCCCCTGGCTGCCGTGCGGCGCGGCGCGGGCGTGGCGGGGACCCCCAAAAGCCTCCGTAAGCCCCCCCGGCGTGGCGGCGCGGCGCTCTGGTCGCCGATATTGCGCCCCTCCCCGCCGTGCCGGAGCCCCTAAGGGGGTCGCTGGGGCCGCGGGGGCCGCGGGGGTTGGGGGAGGCCAGGGGGGCCGCTGGGGGAGGAGGAGCTGCGCCGCTCTCGCCAGCAGCAGGCCGCCACTATTGTGTATTCAGAAAGTGACACACATTTTAGTGGCTGGGATCCGGCTCCAGCGGGGCTCCAGCGGGGCTCCAGCGGGGCTCCAGCGGGGCGCTTCCCCTCCCGTCCTCCCGTGTTGTCTGGGGGCGGGGAGGAGGTCCTCGCGCTGGCGGGGCGCTGGCGCTGGCGCTGCAGGGAGGGGGTGACTTTTTAACTCTGCGGGATGGTGGCGCATACGAAATGTGTTGAATGAAGGCAGCAGGCAGGCAGGCAGGCTGCCGCCATGCTGCCGCGGCGCAGAGGGGCGCGGGGCGCGCGGGCGGGACTATCTCCGCCTTGTCTGTGTGTCTTGTTCTGCCGCCCGCCCGTGTGTGCGTGCCCGGGGGTCAGCCCTCCCTCCTGCTCCCTCCCCGTGGAGCGCGATCGCGTTTAATTCCCTCGTGTGTACCGCCATGCAGTAATAGCGTCCTGGATGGCCTCGGCGTCCTCCTGCTCCCCCTTGCTGCTCGAGCTCCACCATCTCATCCCGAGGAGCAGCTGAGCGCGCCCGCTCGCGCTGTACTGCTCGAGCTCCTGCTCCTCGCCGAAGCGATTGATTCGAGACGACGCGTGAAATAATTGGACATTTGAAGCCGCGTGCATGGAGTGCACGGGCGGGGCGGGTATTGTCCCGGTATGGGTCTGCTGCTGGCGAGGCGAGTCGAGGGCGACGTCCCGTCCGGAGGAATGGACCCTGGGCGGCTGCGGAGGGGCGGGGCGGGGCGGGGCGGCGGCGCGCCGCGCGACCATGGCGTGGCGGCGATATGAGGGGAGCGTGCGGGAATCCGGCACATCCGAGATGAGAGTGGTCAGTGCACACATGCCAACCCACGCCGCGCCCGGCCACGCCGCCGCGCCAGGCCGCAGTGCGAGGGACGTCTTCTCCAGCGGGAGGCAGGCGAGGCGATGCGATGACGCGCCCCCTGCGGCCGCGCCGCTCGCTGTTCCAGCGCGGCCGGCGCTTCTTCGGGGAACGCCCAATGTGACGCGGTCCTCTTCTCCAGCAGTGCGGTAGAATGTGCGAGGGACTGTAGTATGCTCGAATGTCTGTGTCCACCGTCTCCGTCGGGCCCTCGCAAATTCCGTAAACGAGTACTCATATTACACATACTCACTCGGACCAGGGTCCGTCTTCTCCAGAAAGGCTCCAGCAGCTCACGGCGTGGGCTCCTCCAGGAGGGCGGCTGTCTCGTGCAGACTGTTTGGCGGGGCGCGGGGCGGGGCGTGGCGGAGATCGTCTCGTCTCCTTTTCGTCACGGCACCGAGAGGCTGTTAGGCTCGGTGGGGCTGCGCGGGGTTTGCGCCGGCCGCGGGGAAGGGGAGGACCGGGAGGGCGCGGCGAAGGCTGA